ATGTAGGGAGTTGGGATGGGGGTTGGTCAGTGAGGAGGGAGGAGCGGGTAGGTGGGAGAGATGACGGACAGGTCAAGGAGGTGGGGATGAGGCTAGTAGGTAGGAAGTGGGGGTGGGTGTTGGTCAGTGAGGTGGGAGAGTGGATAGGTGGGAGAAAAGATGGACAGATCAAGGAGGCAGGGACGAGATGGGCTGGTCTTGGGATGAGGTCGGGGATGGGGAGATTTTGAAACTTGTAAAGTCCACATTGAGACCATTGAGCTGCAGGGTTTTTATGTGGTATATTGTATCTGCTTCCATCCTCTATCCAAAGCTAGTCGTATCTTCCAGTGTCATTTAAACCCTCAGCATGATCTCTTCAATAGTAGAACAACTGAGACTTACGTTTTTATTTTCTCTTCACCCCTCTTCCCTCTGTCTCATTCTTACAGTTTGGTGCTGCAGACTGTAGCCCCATATCTGAAAATCTACAATTAGGTTTCTGAATGTTGCAGCACAGTGGTATTATGGTTTTGTTGTTGTACTTGCAATCCAGAGACCTAGACTGAAAATTTAGAAATGAATTCAAGCCCCAGTAGTGACCCTGATGCTGATGGATTATTGTGAAAATCTAACATCCTTTAAGGAACCTGCTGTCTTTCCACAGACTAGCCAATATGTGATTTCAGTTGTGCATGGAATATGATTGTCTTAACTAGCCTCTGAAATGGTCTGGCAAGTTAGTCAATTATATGAAATTACAACAAAAAAAAATTAGCAGGTGATGTACCTGGCACTGACTTTGGTATTTTCTCAGACATAATGATGTCACACCCAAGCCAGTCGTCCTACCAATGTCGTCGTTAAGAACAGCACAAATGTGCCAAAATTGCGATACTCAAGAAACAACCTGTCAGACTCATCTAATACCAACCCCACGTATGTCCTAGCCCAGGAGCAGGAAAAGACCAACCAGAGGTGGCAGCATAGTCAGCAGGGAGCAGGCCTGGGATCCCTCAACATTGACTCCAGAGTCCATAAGTCTCATGGCATCAAATGAAGTATGGGCAAGGGAACTTCCTTCTGATTTAACACCTACTGCCCTCCCTCACTGGATGAATACTTACTCCTTCATGCTGAACGCCAATTGGAAGAAACACTGAGGATAGCAAAGAAATAGAACGTATTTTGGGTCACAGCTACAATATCCATCATCAAGAATGGCTTGGTAACAATGACTACTAGTTAAGCTGGTTGAGTCCTGAAGGACATATCTGCCAGACTGGGGCGGGTAGTGAGAGAACCAATAACAGGGAAAAACCTACTTGGCATTGTCCTCACCAATCTTGCCTGTTGCAAATGTGTGTGTAGTTGTAGGATGGCGCACTGGACTGTCCTTGTGGACAAAGTCAGAAGTCACACAAGTCACACAACAACAGTTTATTTAAAATCCACAAGCTTTTGGAGAACTGCTCCTTCAGGTGAAGTGGAGGGAGGCGTACAGGCACAGAATATATAGGTGGAGAGATAATGGCAGATAATTAAGAGTGTCAACAGATAAGTACAAACAGTGTGAGTGGAGTGTTGACAGGCTGAATAACAAGTCTTGGCAGGTGATCAAGAGTGTCAGATGGTGTGAGTAAAGTGTCAACAGTTGAATAACAAGTGAAGGGATGACCTATGAACGAATGATTAAGGCAGAGGGATAATTGCAAATAATCAAAAATAAGATGTCTCCTCGTGGAGGCTAGGTTCTTGCTTCACAATGAGAGTGACCTCCATTGTCTTATGTAGCATTGCTATCATGAAGAATGGCTTCGGATCAGAATTACAGCTCAAAACTGGGCATCAACCTTCAGCAGCTGAATTGCATCTTCATAGTCCATCGTTTCCCTTGCTCTACTGTTACCATCAAGCAGGGAGTCAACCCTGGTTCAGTGAGGAGTACAGGAGAACTTTCTATCAGCAGCAGCAGCAGTCATATTGAAAAATGAGATGCCAACCTAATGAATCTGTACATGCAGCAAAACAGGACTCCATGCATGCTAAACAGCGAAAAAAGATATGCTATTGACAGAACAGGAGTGGAGCAGCATTGGCTTACTTGTGGTTGTCACTGGACCAGAATGAGGTCAGGTTCTGGAGACTTGGGTTTGAATTCCATGATGACAGATGGTGGTAAATTCAACAAAAAAATGGAATTGAAAGTCTAATGATGACCATGAAACCATCATCAATTGTCAAAAAAATGCAACTAGTTCACTAATGTCTTTGAGGGAAGGACAACTGTCTTATCTGGTCTGGCCCAGATGTGACTCATGATGTGGTTGACTGTTAACTGCCCTTTGAAATGGCTTAGCAATTCAGTTGAATCAACAGCTAGCAAGTCTCAAAAAAGCAATGAAAGTGGATCGAAGACCTGACAGCAACCTAGGCATTGGAAATGACAGTGGCATATACAGTCCTGCTGACCCCGTAAAGTCCTCCTTGCTAATATCTGGGGATTTGTGCCAAAATTGGGAGAGCTGTCTTACAGACTAGTCAAACAACAGCCTTGACATAGCCATATTCATACAGTCTTACAGATAATGTCCAGACATCGTGATCACCATCCCTGGATATGACTTGAGCCATGGGAGAGAGTTACGCTAGGAGTCTGGACCCATGAACTTTCATGCCATCAGGTCAAATATTGACAAGGAAAACTCCTGCTGATAACCCTTTGGCTGATCAATCAGGACTCCTTCATGTTGAACACCATTGAAGATGGCAAGGGCACAGAATGCTCTCTGGGCAGGTATTTCAATGCTCACTGGCAAAGTTGCTCAACAGGAGCATTACTGATTCTGCTGGTCGAGTCCTAAAAGGACATTGAAGTAGCAGGTGGTGGAATTCTTGACCATATCCTCACCAATTTGCTGGCCGCAGATGCATCTGTCCACGACAATATCAAAAGGAGTAACTTCTGTGTATCCTTGTGGAGACTAAGTCATGTCTTTACAATGGATCCTACATTGTTTTGTATGGCATGATCACTGTGCTAAATAGGACAGACTTTGAGTAGATCTATCAACTCAGAACTGGGCAGTTGTGAGGTACCATGCCATCAACACCAGCAGAATCACACTCCAACACACCCTGCAACCTTCATGCCAAAGTGCATAATCTCAAATTTTTCCACATTATATTCCATGTGACAAGTTTTGCCTGCTCATTTAACCTGGGTGTCACGGTCGTTCATTGGTTAGTACTGCTGCCTCCCAGTGCCAGGGACCCGGGATTAATTCCAGCCTTGGGTAATGGTCTGTGTGGAGTTTGCACATTCTCCCCGTGGGTTTCCTCCGGGTGCTCTGGTTTCCTCCCACAGACCAAAGATGTGCAAGTTAGGTGGATTAGTCATGCTAAATTGCCTCTAGTGTCCAGGGATGTGCAGGCTAGGTACAGGGATAGGGTAGCAGGGTGGGTCTGTATGGGATGCTCTTCGGAGGGTTGGTGTGGACTTGATGGGTTGAATGGCCTGCTTCTACACTGCAGAGATTCTATTCTTTGATTCTATATAATTTCTTTGTGTCATCCTCACCATTATGTCTCTATTCCTAGCTTTGATCTCCTAGTAACCATGTCTCTCTAATGGCTGTAAGATCATGCTCATTGATCTCTGTTTGTGCTGTTATTTCATAGAGTCGTTGTCATAGAGTTGTACAGCACAAAAACAGACCCTTCAGTCCAACTCGTCCATGTTGACCAGATATTCTAAATAAATCTGGTGCCATTTGCCATTCAGCCCATATCTCTCTAAACCCTTCCTATTTATGTACCCATCCAGATGCCTTCTAAATGTTGTAAGTGTACCAGCCTCCTCTGGCAGCCTACTCCATACATGCACCCAAATTAGCCCCAGCCTATTCAGCCTCTCCCTATAGCTCAAACCCTCCAACCCTGGCAACATCCTTGTAAATCTTTTCTGAGCCCTTTCAAGTTTCATAACATCTTTCCTTTAGGAGGGAGACCAGAATTGAATACATTATTCCTGGTGTCCTAACCAATGTCTTGTGCAACTGCAACATGACCTTCCAACTTCAATACTCAATGCATTGACCAATAAAGGCAAGCATACAAACGCCTTCTTCGCTCCCCTGCCTACCTGTGACTTCACCTTCAATGAACTGTTGACCTGCACCCCATGGTCTCTTTGTTCAGCAACATTTCCCAGGACCCTACCATTAAGTGTATCATTTATTTTCATCGGAATACTCTGTTCGATTCAATAAAGAACCATTAATTTTGCCTTTTTACCTTTTTCCTCCTTTGATCTTATTTGCTGTTTTTCTAAATTTGTGCATGCTATTCCTTCCTGCCCCACTTCGGGTGTTATTCTATAAATAGCTGCCCTGTAATGTTGCAACATCCTCTTACTTTGTAAACCTACATTTCCCTTCTCCCAAACCCTCCCTGCTCTAATTAGTTTAAAGTCCTCTCTGCAGCTCTAGCTAAGTGTTTCAGCAGGGCACTGATCCCAGCATGGTTCAAGTGAAGCCCACCCCAGCAGAACAGCTCTCTTCTACCCCAGCACTAGTGCTACTTCCCCATAACGTTGAAACCCATTCCACTTAAACTGATCTTTGAACCAGGCATTTAACTCTGTGTATCCGATATGCTGTATGTGAATGTGTGTATACTCTATATGTTCCATTTTAGTGTATACCCCCATTTGACAATAAAGCAAATTCTAATTCTAATGTGAATGTACTGTATGTTGTATATGCATTTGTGTACCCTGTATGTTGTAATCGCATGTGTGCCTCTGTTTAACTGTGTAATATATGTGTGCTTTTTATATTTCCTGTATTATCTACAAATAGAAATTGTGTATAATAAAACCAACGTGTTTTAATTTCAAACAGATACACGCTTTTAACCTCTGGACGAAACATTTCGTGTTTTAAAGAACAAAGTCCTTTTCACTTCATTTTCAGTTGGCCAGAAAGCGGCAGTGTCTCTCCAAGAAGCATGTCTTCCTGTGCTTAGTGTGAGCTGCCGAGAGTGGGAGAGCGAAAAGCCTTGTTTTGTAATGCTGGGGTTGTCTGTTGTTCTTTGTGCGTGAAGAGGATTGGTGAGGACTCGAGACAGTGGATGTGGCTGGAGCCTCCGATCAGAACTCATCCTCTTTGCCATAAATGGGGCTGCTTGCGAAAGTTGCTGGAAACCCAGAGGCATTTTAACAGGATTTACAAACGGATTTATTTGCTGTAAAAACCATCTCACCATAAAAGGGGAGCGAGCAGAGAGGGAGAGGCAGCGTAGGGGGCGGTGAAAGCACATCTGGAACTGAATCACTGAAGGAACAGCCGCAGAAAAGAGAGACAGAGAGAAAAATCAACCACCCCTAGAGTCACAGGCTCCTTGAAAACAAGGCAGGAAGTTTAATTTGCAGCACGTCCCGGAGCAAGAGGTCAGTGTAACTTATACGTGTCCTTTGCCTTTGGTTTAAGCCATGTTGCTGTCTCGATGGAAGAGCAAGTCTGTCCAGCCTTGGCTCATTCTATTTCGAAACTCACCTGGAGACTGCTATACCCCACTCCTGCCCCCAACTCTCTATCCCTTCCTCTCTCTGTCGCTCCTCCATGTCCTCCTCCCCTCCCCTCTGTGCTTTCCTCTGTCTCCCTGTCCCTTCCCCTGTCCTCTCCTCTGTCTCCCCCTTGCCTCCCTTCTGTCTTCTACTGTGTCTCCTCCCCTTCCCTCTGTCTTCTCCTCCGTCAACCCCTCCACTCATCCTTTCCTCTGTCTCCCCACTCCCCGTCCTCTTCTGTCTCCCCGTCCCCCCCTCCTCCCCTGTCCTCCCCCCCCCCCCCCACTCCCCCATCCTCTCCTCCACCTCCCCCTTCCTCCTGTCCTCTCCTCCATCTCCCCCTCTCCCCTGTCCTCTCCCCCGTCTCCCCCTCTTCCCCTGTCCTCTCCTCCATCTCTCCCTCTTCCCCCTGTCCTCTCCTCCGTCTTCCCCTCCTCCCCTCTGTCCTCTCTTTCCCTCCCCTCTGTCCTCTCCTCAGTCTCTTCCTTCCCTCTATCTCCCAGGAATTCCGCTGCTGCTGCTCTGTCTGAATTTTGATGATTTCATGTTTTCCAGTGTTTTTCCCCTGGGGTTGGGGAGGGGAGGTTGCTGAGAATTGGTTCTGCTTCAGACGTTGGCTTTTTTATTGGAGGGCCTCCTAGTATCACAGGACAGTGGCTCTCACATTCCTCCTTCTGGGTAGTTTGTTTTGCTGGGATTGAGGCTGTTTCTCTTCATTTTGTTAAATCTTTGGATTTAGAAAAGAAATCCACTCTAAAGCAGTTGGTTTGATGGTTTATTTCTGCAGATTTGAGACTGATTCCTCAGCATGCAGCTTTTAGGTTTTGCATTTGTTTGATTGGTTTTTAGTTGTAAGTTTTCGGTGATTGCTGTAGCCTGCCTAAAATTTGTTGTGGACTTGATTAGCTTCTAAGTTTGGCGCTAGCATTTGTTGTTCATTTTGTTGCATGTTTGCAGAGAGTTTTGGATGAAGAAAGGCTTTCAGTTTGTTTGAACACTAACTGAACGGCCTCCCATGTAACCATTCTGTGAATCTAATCACCCAACTGTAGCAACGTCTATTTCTTAAATCTGAAATAAAAAAGAAGTGCTGGAAAAACTCAGCAGATATGGCAGCATTTGTGGAGAGAGAGAATCAAGAGTTAATGTTAAGTCTAGGATAGTTTTCTTCTTAAATCTATCCTGGTTTTAGTATCAATATCCTAGCCTTAACTCTTTCAGACCAAACAGATAATTCTAATCAAACACATTCTGTTAAAAGGAAAAAAAATTGCCTGGTATCTGCAGCCATGGCTAAGTGGTAGCATTCTGGCCAGAGATGTTCACTTATTACTTCACTGACTAGAGCTCAGAATAGAACTTCAAACCTGGATCTTGTTATCTTCCCTCCCTTTGAAGAGGATGGGTTTCCTTCTGCGTGTCTCGGCCAATATTTGTCCCTCAATAAACAATCACAAAATAAAATACTGTCACTACTTGTGGCAGATGCTTGAATTGTTGTCAAGTAGTTTGAGACATCAGGAAGTGAAATGTGCTATACCAGCATAAGTTCTTTCTTTGAAAATTGCATTCCACAGCCCTTACCTTGTACTTTCCTTCCAAATTTGAGTTCAAACTCCAAGGCAATGCTGAAGCTGTGCACTAGCCTTGTCAGGTCTCCTGTGGAGCAGATCTAGTCACAGAAACATAAGTGGCAATGCCAAGGACAATGAAGATACTAGGGATCATCAGAAGACAGACTCAAAAGAAATATAAATGACCTGGATTTACCACATTCTAGAAATGGTGGAGGCCAAAACTTTGAATGTTTTCAAGAGAGGGTTAGATGTAATTCTTAGGGCTGAAGGGATCAAAGGGCATGGGGGGCAAGCAGGAACAGGGTACTGAATTGGATGATTAGCCCATGATCATATTAAATGGTAGAATAGGCTCAAAAGGCTGAATGACATACTCCTCTATTTTCTATGTAAACATAGATAGCTTATCCAGTTATTTTGAGTCTGTCTTCTGATGATCCCTAGTATCTTCATTGTCCTTGGCATTGCCACTTATGTTTCTGTGACTAGATCTGCTCCACAGGAGACCTGACAAGGATAGTGCACAGCTTCAGCATTGCCTTGGAGTTTGAACTCAAATTTGGAAAAAAATAGCAAATGAAGCTCATCGCTAGTAAAGGTCAGGTAGTACCTGTAGGAAAAAAAAGGTCACAAAGGGTCACTTGTAAGGTGCGATTCGAGGAACTAAAGAATCTTAAGAGTACAAGTGTACCAATAATCAAAAGTTGTGCCATAGGTTAGCAATGCCATAAAAGAAGTAAACAAGCACTTGGCATTATTTCCAGAGGGATAGAATTGAAAAGTAGGGAGCTGACATGAAATCTGGATCAAATCTTGGTTTGCCCACATTTAGCAGCACTGTATGTAATTCTGGTTGTATTCTAAAAAGGTCATAGCTGCATGGGAGAGGGTGTGAAGGAGATTTGCAAGGGTGATATCAGAACTCCATGTGTGCATGTATCAGGAAAGGATGTTTAAAACATTGTTCTACAGGATATGAGATTCACTACAGTGTTTATTTCCCATCTCCAATTGCTTTCAAAGGCCTTCCTGAACCGCTGCAGTCTGTGTAGTGTAGGAATATCCACAATGCTGTAAGGAAGGGAGGTTCACGATTCTGACCCAGTGACACTGAAGGAACAACAATACATTTCCAAGTCAGATTGGCATGGAGGGAACTTGCAGCTGGTGGTGTTGCTATGTATTAGCTGCCCCTGTCCTTCTAGATCTTTTAATGTAATGGTACTTCTCTGCACCAGATGGAAGGACACAGGGACTCTGCACCAGGTGGTTCAGGTTGTGGAGTGTGGGCTTCTGAGACACCTTCTGGAACCTGGAGATATTGTAGAATTCTGAGTAGGGGTACACACAGATGGGATCACACTGCTCGCTAGAGTGTCCTTCAACCCTTGCACAGCATCAGCTCCGAGCACAGCCTTTTCAGGCGATGGATGGCATTGGCCATAAGCTGGGCATCCACTGCCACCCTGCTTGCCAATTCCCGGGGGAACATCTAGCCCAGGCCCCTGCCACCCAGCATGTTCCCAACTCTGGTCCCCCCCGCAACCGAGGCCTCCCTCCTCCAGGCACTCGAGCCTGTGATAAAAGAAGTGTAGATTCCTGATCAGTGGCTCTCTGGCGATAACTGCTACTCCTGACAGCAGCAAGAACTGGTGTAAATCAACCATATTCCAGATGTTGATCAGGTTCTCATAAAGACCCTCACTGTGTATGAACAGGAGCTACATGTTGTAACTGAGACTGTGCACCCAACAGAAGGAATATGTTGCCTGAGAGCACCGTCTAGGTGATGGCTTGACGGAAAGGTATCGCTGCAGGGTCTGAAGGTAGAAAGTTGCCACATACGGAGGTGGGAACAAACCAACTGAACACCCTCCTCAAGGGGGAGACTTTGACTGTGTCCTGTGACCCAGTACATCTCTTGTACCAGAAGAGGTGAACCAACACCCACCGGATTTTTGTAACAGAGCTGGAGGGATGGGTCAAAGGGACCAGCGCTTCCACATCATGGAGGCCACCAGCTGGTTTTTGACCAGCATTTGGCACCTGTAGGATAGCACTCAGAGCAGTTCTGTGCAGCAGCCTAGATGAGCTAAGACTTTGGCCTCCAGCTTCTGCTAATTTGTCAGCCAGGATTCCTCAGCCAGGCTAAGGTAGACCAAAATGTTTTTGAATCAACCTGTTCAGGAACGTCACAGCCTCACATCTCTCATGCAGATGGCATTTGAACCCAGGCCACCTTGCTCAGAGGTAGGGACACTGCCACTAAACCAGAGCTCCCTGCTATATTAATGACCTTATTTTGTTTTTTGAATAATCTGTGTTTTTAATCAACTTATAATTTTTTGTATTTTAACTATTTATTTTAACTAATCTAAATTACTAAATTAAATATTTGCCTGCAGTATAAACCTTGACAAGAAATGGAGACGAAAAGCAGCACCTCACCTGCACAGAATTCCCAAACTATGCGCTCTGTTCTACAGCCCTTTTATCCATCAGCCCATACTGTTTGTTTCTATCCATTTTTGAACCGCACCCAATTCACAACTGGTGACTCAGGCTCCTATTCACCTATTAGCAACTATTCAAGCAATCACGGCAACAAGCCTGAGACAAAGATGTTGGCCGGGGAACACAGTGGCTTGTTGAAAAGAAATACTGTACAAATCTACAGAGACAAGTAGTAGGTCAAAAGTCTGAATAGAGTTTAAAAACCACTAGGAATGACTAAAGAGGTAAAAGATACAGACAACATAGAGAAAGCTGGCTAGTAACATGAAGACAATTCCACACACAAACGACTCAAAATATTCCTCCTGATCTCCTAAACAGTGTCGCCTATTTCTAGTCTACAAGGAAAAATATCTACCTATAGTATCCACATATCTAGTCCCTGAGAATCTTGTATATTATAATAAGATTGCCTTTTGATCTTCTAAATTCCAATGAGTTTAATTTGGTTAAATGTGAGGTGTTGCATTTTGGTAAAACAAACGAGGGCAGGACTTATACAATTAAATATAGGGCTTTGGATAGTGTTGTAGAACAGAGAGACCTGGGGGTTCAGGGACATAATTCTTTGAAGTTGGCATCATATGCAGGCAGTGTGATTAAAAGGCATTTAGTAGCCTGCCTTTATTGCTCAGACCTTTGAGTGTAGGAGGTGGGACATCATGGTGAGGTTGTACAGGGTGTTGGTGAGGCCTGTTCTGGAGTACTGTGTCCAGTTCTGGTTGCCCTGTTATAGGAAAGATATTATTAAGCTGGAGAGGGTTCAGAAAAGATTTACCAGGATGTTGCTGGGAATGGAGGGTTGGAGTTATAAAGAGAGGCTGAATAGGATGCGACTTTTTTCACTGGAACGTAGGAGGTTGAGGGGTGACCTTATAAAATCACGAGGGGCATAGATAAGGAGAATGGCAGGTGTCTTTTCCCTAGGGTGGGAATTTCAAGACTAGGGGGTATATTTTTATGGTGAGAGGAGAAACATTTAAAAAATATATGAGGGGCAACTTTTTTACGCAGAAAGTGGTTCATGTGTGGAATTAAGTTCCAGAGGAAGTGGTGGATGCAGGTACAATTGCAATATTTAAAAGACATTTAGTTAAGTACATAAAAAGGAAATGTTTGGAGGGTATGGGCAAAGTGCAGGCAGGCGGGACTAGTCTAGTTTGGGATTATTTTCAGCTTGGACTGGTTGGACCAAAGGGTCTGTTTCTGTGCTACATGGCTATATGACACTTGTAGCTGATTGCCAGTTAACCAGCGCTGTTGGGCAGTTTGTGCTCAAAACTGAGTAACTTGCAATTTTAAAGTTTTTAAGTTGAATTCAACCAAATTTCAGTTTGACACACTGTTGCTTATCAGAATGTCTCACATACACTAAACACCCAACTCTTACCCTGTATGTTATGCACCCTTTTCCGTCACCACTCTGTAGACCTTTGTGGTGATATTGTCTAGTGTAGTTCAGATATTATCTAATCACATGTTGCTTTTCTACAGATGGAGATGCTTCGACGTTCCTCCGTCTTTGCTGCTGAAGTGATGGATGTTTTTGACCGCTTTCCCCCTGAGAAAGAGCTCATTTCTCAAGCGAAAGCGCTGTGCCGAGATTACATCCATTCCCGCCTGATCCGAGCTGGTATCGTCTGGAGTAAACCAGAGCCTGCAGTTTCTAGTCCAGCGAGCAAACTTACTGAGGTTTCAGCCGCACTTCTTCACTTAGGTAAGTTTACTATCACAGGAGCACAGGAGAATCAGGGAGAGAAAGGAATCAGGATTCTTGATGATGGCAATGGAGTCAGGAGAGTTGAATAGTGAGAATCAGGTTGACAGGAAAGGGAAGTGAGAGCACGTGATGGAAATGTTCAGAACGAGTTATGGCGAGAGACGGAAAGGAGATTCAAAATAATCTAAAATCAGAAACTCAATGCACGTTTTTCACTAAACTATGGAGAGGTTTGGAATGTGCAGGTTCAAACCTGATGATGTTGTCAGAGTTACAGAGGATCCCAACAAGTCAGTTGTAGGTTAAAGTTTCTTCATTTTATCGTTACAATGCACCAGTTAAGAAAGCAAACACAATGCTGCAATACAGAGATAGTAGGAACTGCTGATGCTGGAGAACCCGAAATAACAAGCTGTAGAGCACAATCA